ACTCACTCTCTCCCTCCCTCTCCTTTCCTCCCTCCCTCCCTCTCTCCAATAGCGATGTGTTGTTTCAGTATTGTATTGCTTGGAAGACTAACAGTAAATCGGTTCTATCACATATTGATCTCTCAAAGAATCAGCTTGATGAAAAATGTGAGCAGTATCATTATCATTATTGTCTTTGATTATATTTTTGCTCATGCAGTTATTGAGAGTTTCTGCTCTGGTCTGGAATCCCTTCAACATGGCCTCCAAACCTTGAAACTATCAAATTGTAAAATATCAACAAAAGGTATAGGATACAATATTATGTACATATACTTTTATATGCCACACATTGACACTCACACAGCCTATTCACTAAATCTCAAAGTATGATCTTCCTTTCATTCTCCTCTAGTTGGTTCACTGATAGCTAATGCTATGAAACAGAATCAGGATCTTCTTTATTCTCTCACTCATCTTGATTTGTCTGAGAACCCACTGGGCCCTGAGTCCCAAGGGCCGCTAGTGTTCCTCAAAGAGCCTCAGACAGTAACAACCCTTAACCTCTCAAAGTGTGGCCTTAACTTTGAGCTGGTGAGAAAATACATACACAGTGTGTTACATGTACACTATTATGTATATACAGTGCATTCAGGTAGTTTACATATACATGTATGTGCATAATAATAATATACAATTTTTAAACTCAGATGAAATCCTCCTAAAAGACACATGTATTGTAGACATTACTTTAATAATTACTCGTATAATTCAAGCATGTACTATGCAATGTCTAGACTCCTCCATTCATTGTATCAAGAGGTCATTATATCATATGCTGCATAGTATTAGTGATTCCTCCTAACAGTTACTGCTGGTGCTGAGCCTAAAAGAATGACCAACAGTATGTACATGTATACTCAACAAGTATTATATACACTGTCATATTGAAATTGGTATCAGCTAATAATACAGTAAAGTTGTATTAACAGTTTTGATGCTAAGAGAAGATAAACAGTAAACCATTAGTCACGTGTATCTACATGTATTCATGTACAGTTGATGTGTTTTGTGTTATTACTGGCATGAGTAGAAGAAGCCAATAACACTCCACCATACACTATCAACACTACACTGAGGTACTGATCTACTGATGTACATGTACATGACACTACTGATGTACACGTACTAACCTCACCTTCATACCTCCTCTAGGTGTTTCCCATATTATTGAGAGGATGTCAGCAACACTTGAGAGATTTGGATCTGAGTCAAAACAGAATCAAGTAATATGTCAATTTGTACATGTAATGTCTGTGTGTACATGTACATGCATGTACACAACGTGCGTGTACATTACATGTAGGCATGTCTTGGCTTGTGGGACTTTTGAGGAATGTATATGTATGTTTGATGTTACCATGTTACTTTTTGTTTGCTCATCTATTGTACTTGCTGTTAAACATCAATTATATGATCTCTCTTTCTCTCTCCCCCTCTCTTTCTCTCAGTGTTAAGAAACTCAATGTGACCTCATTGGGTCAGATTATGCAGCAGTTCTTCAGCTCAGCAATATCACTGCAAGTCATTAACCTCAGTGACTGTAAACTCACTCCTGATCTTGCTATGTATGCCATTAGCTATTGGATTTTACAATTTCATGCAACCTCTTTTCTTCCCTTTAGTGCTATTATGGAAGGACTGTCAGTTAATCCTAACATTAGTGACACTACACTTAACCTTAGCTCTAACGAGGTACAGAGAGAGGGGGAGAGAGAGGGAAAGGGAGAGGGAGAGGGAGGGGGAGAGGGAGAGAGAGGGGGAGAGGGAGAGAGAGGGGGGAAGTTGGGTTCACATTGTGAATTAATTTCATTTAATTACCGTAATGTAATATTGTATTGATCATTGTTGATTATTATTGATTATTATTGATTGTTATTGATTGTTATTGATTATTATTGATTGTTATTGCTATTAGTTGGGTCACGGTCTTGATGTACGGTCCATGTCTGATTCCTTGTCACGACTAAAAAAAGTCAATACACTCAACATATCTAATACCAGTAAGTACTCATCATTGCCTTTTATACTAGTGCAATAGTTAAGGCTAAAAAAGTGAATGTGTATCATCACTGATAATGATAGCATCACATCATTAATTATAATTAGATGTACTTTTATAATTTAATATCCTTTTTTGTGTCTTTTTCTCTTCCTGTCCTTCTTCTTCTTCCAGACATTGATCAAGATTTGTCACGTCTAATTGAAGCTCTGGGCCTCAATAGAAGCATCAAGCACCTCAGTATTGGACAAAACTTTGAAGGAAGAGAAAGGTGAGAGAGCTAGACTATTATCAATAGTTCCTTAGTAATTTTATATTATTAATTCAGTAATTACTATTTACAATGTATTTATTGATTGATTTATTTATTTATTTATTGTTAGGATTGAAGGTGTCAAGCAGTTGTGCCGTATGATCAAAGCTGATGATTGCTGCTTGGAATCTCTTGATATCTCAGACTCGAAACTAAAAGAGGTGACGTCAGCAATACTGAACTCCCTTATCTATAACGACTCCATTGTGAAGCTGGACATAAGGTAGGTCTGATATTGTTGCAATGGTAAGCTCATTATTAGCTTTGTAGTGGGAATGGAATGGGAACTCATGGATTGAGAGCAATGGTCAAGTTATTGCTGTCTGGAACTCAATTAAAGTATGTTACTCATACCATACAGACACAAGTATTACTGCTGTAATAGTATAGTGATAATATATTGCTTGTAAAACCTTTTTTCAAGATTTTAACAAGCATATGTGCATATATATGTTATGTATCAAGTTTTAGGTGATTCTAATCAAAATTGGATTTTTTTATATTTTTTTTGAGTTTCTCGAAAATTGGGCCAAAGTCCCTGTACTATAGTACAGTGTCTTTGGCCAAATTTGGTCAAAAATGACTAGGAAAGATTCTCAATTTTTATAGTTTTTTCTA